GCCAATATAAATTTCTCCCAGAATACAATTATCTAGGGATTTTTAACTTCCAAGGTATCGGCAACTTGCTCGATTTTACTCATTGGTCCCGTACGAACTCATCCGAACTCGAAATCGAGTTCCGCTTTTTCCTGTATGTAGCTAACGAGCTCCTCTTACATAACCATGATTGCCCGGTCTATAATCAACTCCTCACGAGACTTCCGACATGCACACCAAAAACAAAGAAAAACCGGAAAAACACACGAAAAACACAAAGAAAACCAAAATAGAACAAAACACATAATAAAACACAAAACGAACTAAAAACTCACGAAATAACCTAAAATGAAGAAAAATGAGGGGAAAAGAAGAACAAAAAATATAGCGAAAAATGCAACAAAAATGGTACAAACAATAGGTTATTTTGGACAACAAAAAATGTTTCTATACTTTATGGGCATTATAAGGACAAACATTATTGATTTTAATTTTGTTTACTTATAGTTGTTAATAATAGATGATTAATGGTGTTGTTTGATATGATTTGTTGGTAAAAATTAATTAACTTCAGCGTATATAGACATATCATGATTCTCTAGATATATTAATTAATTTATAGACAATCTTATGATCAAAACTAAATCAAGTTGCTCAAGTAGTATTCGATAGGAAAACAATTGGAATGACTTTTAGTATTAGAAAATTTTATAAAATTATTCTAATCTTATTCAAATAAATACATTTAGTAGATTAGAAGTTTGAGTTGCAAAACAATTATTCAACAATTTATCTCTAATAGTGTTACACAATTTTTTTTTTCTCATAGGTTATATTTTTACATTAAATCCCTTTAGTCCCATTATCATATTATTTCTGAAACTTTCGTGGAAAACAACCTAAAATGACTCGATGAAAAACGCAGATCATTCAACAAGAGTTTCCATTGGTAGTTAGTAATTCGTTAATGCACATAAACGAATTGACTTCATAAATCGGTCGAAAGTTTCCTCAAGAGCACATAAACGAATAGATTTTATAAATCAATTGAAAGTTTCTTCAAGAGCAACTTGTATAAATCCGGCTATGGATTGTGAAAAACCCATTACCACTCAAAAAAAAAAAGCGAAAAGGACCGACGTGGTGCCGCTTTGGACGGCCAATTTCCGTGAGGCCGGTTACTGTA